TAGTTAGGTAAGTCATCCTCATATATCATCCAGTCTTATACCGATAAGGCGATATATTTACTCCTTAAGAAATAACTTAGAAAAAAAATAATTTAGAAAATTCTTAAATTTTTCATGTAACATCCAAAGGAAAACTTTATACTATGCATTTCATGTCTGTCTGCATCTCATTTTTAACAAAAAATAAAAGTATTTTATCTCTTTTAATATTATTGATAACATAATACAAACAACTTCGTATTTGAACTTGAAGCACCATTTAATCATTGAAGCATGTGGTGGATAGTACATATGGTTTGTGGTGAGGCCTATTAAATATATACTTAATAAATTTTATAACTTAAAAGACAAGAAGTCAAGAAGTCTAAAATTCATTTATAATTCTATTGCTTATTTTCTGTTTGATGTGTTAATTTCCCAGACATTTGTTGTGGCTCGTACCTAGACATCACGTCACATCCTCATGCAGTCATAGGTTAAGCTTTTGGGACACAGATGAATCTAAGACGTGTGCTGCTGGGATCAAGGATGTGATGTTGGGATTGATTCATGGAGCCATGCTAGGATGAAGGATGCCTCACCTTGGGTGTGAATGCTAAGGGTGGGTAGCCTGAATAAGATATAGCAGATAGAAAGAGGGTAGTTGTTGTGAGCTGCTTCTCATTTACTTCACTGTTTGATGTCTTCTGCCCACCATGACCTTTTCCTCCTGTGAGTTGCCCCTCTGCCATGCTACCCTGCCTTGGAACCAGCCAACTATGAACTGAAGCCTCTACAAACCATGAGCCAAATAGACCTTTCTTCTTTGAACTTTGGGTGTCAGGCATTTTGTTTCAGCAATAAGAAAAGTAACTAATACAATATTCATTTGATTCTTTAAGGATCATTTATTACTAACTTTTCCTGATTTATGTTTGATAGTATGTGTTTACTTATAATATTAATATCATAGTCTTTTGATAATGAAGTAGTAAAATTAACAATGATATTTTGCTAATTAAGTAAAAATACTACCAAATATCATACCGCTGTGCATTAAAAATAAACAATATCAGTTATAATAGTAGTACTTTGCATGAAAATGAATGAAATACATGGGTTCTCCTGTTAGAAATCAAAAAAGTATACTGTCCTGTTATTTTGAAACTTCACTAGAATGAAAAACAGTTTTTACAGCTAATAAACATTAAGAGGATACTATGAAAAATAGTTGATTTAAATTCCAGACAATTTCAAATCATAAAATATAAATTATAATTTTTACATCTTTACTTTCCTTTATATTTTCATCCACAAAATCTGTGACCAGATCTCCAACACAGAGTTAGAAGTTTGAGCTTCTTGACCTTACAAATCACTACTATTGATGGCCTCAATAAACTTCAGTGTAATTGAAAGATCATGGTTCCCTGTGTAGGTGAACAGTTTAGTGAATGCTTATTTTGTTATATCAAACTGGAAAATGTTAAATTATAAGCCAAGTACTTCCTGGATCAATACAGAACATGTCTCAATTATCACAGCAGGATTTCTCAAACTGCATTTTTTCCTTATGGGTATCTCTAGTTATGCATAAGTTAATAGTAGCTTGATAATCAAAACAATACAGAGCCTTACTACATCTGTGGATAATGTTAGGTAAGGGTAACTGTGATGTTTTCAAGAAACAGTGACTTTTTAATAAACAGATTTAGCTGTATATTATTGTATAGAAAAATATCTTCAGACATAACTGCTAGATGAATTTTTATTATAAAGTAATTATAGTTGTAATAACTTCAGTAAAATTCAGTATGTAGAATTCTCAGGCATTAAATGTTGGATTGTGCAGAATGAGGCAGAATTTTTATTTAATATTTATCAGTTTCATGGTAATTATACTCAATGTATTTTATGTTAATGGCTTCCACATGTTTAAAAGAGATTTTATCCACTGTTGAGCTTTATATATCATTTAGAATTAATCAGATGGGGATACAGCTCAGTGGCACCACCCTTGCCTGGCAAGCTCGAGGTCATGAGTTTGATTCCAAGTACCAAAATTAAATAAATAAATAAAAGTAATCAGAATTATAAAATACTATAATGATTTTGAAATTAAATATTTTTAGTTTTTAGACGTTTCATCGATATACAATCTATTTTAAAAGGAAAATTGAATAATTTTAGTAAGTTCCCATGATTCTTCAATCACTATCAAAATCTAACTTTATTACATATATAACCTACCAGTAAGAAAAGATAAATGCACACTAACAGGGACATCTTTTTCCTCATGGAATTCCTTCAACAAGCTCCAACATACAACCCTGGAAAAATAATAGCATACTTTTTTGTCTGGTTAAGTCTGTCTGTTGTATATTTCATTTAATGGAAACATACAAAAGATCCCCTATCATAATTGATTTGTTACGCTTAACATGATGTTTACAAGGTACATTCATGTGATAGAACCTATTAGAACTTCATTCTTTTTTAGTGATGACAATATTGCATCATATTCCTATATAATATATTAAAAATTAATTCAACAATTGGTGAACAGTTGTGTTGCTTGAAGATTTTGCATTAAAAGGAAAATAAACAGCTCCACAGTGATAGCAGAAGACTTTCATGGCCTATTTCACTCTTATTGAAAAACCTCAGTGGAATTTACAATAAGAAAATGAATTAAACATCACCACGGAGCAATAAAACCTGACATGGAAATGAATTTTTGCCTCCAAGTTTTGTTGGCATTTCTGTCTACTTAATTAGACGTGGAATTGCTGGTGTCTCTCGGTTTGAGACTTTGGGTCCTGCAGACTAATGGCAATAGCAGCTACAACCCCTCATTGTCTCAGCAGCTATGTATGAAGCTTCCAATTTTCCCTCATGTCAAATTTTCACATTTTTGTCATAAAGGTAGACACATATATCAAAAACTTTGTTTCCCTATTAATTTTTGTAGCACTACTGTATTATACTTTTATACCAACCAAATTTCTTGATAAATACAAATCACAACTTATTCATAATGAATATGTAATACATTGTGTCATACTTTTTATGGAAGATGTGAAATGTTGGTAGAAAAGTAAAAACACATGTAAGTAGTTACACTGATTTCTTTTATCTACAATGCTGCAGTAAATGTAAACATACATAAATTTTGATCTGAACTGCTGACTTCTTTCCTGAGTACGTAATATTGTACATATAATGAGATTTTTGTTTCCTGTGACTCTAACAAATCACATATGTATTTCTTTAAATATAGATTGATGTTTAATATAACTGTCTTTTTGCTTCAGATATCAATTTTCTTATGCATATGACAAATGAAAAAATTAAATAAATTTTGGTGTGTGAGAATTAACTGATATTGTTGGTAAAATTTTATAATTTTGAGAGTAGCAAAATGCTCTGAAAGGAAGATAGATAAGACAGGCACACCAAAGTATAACTTAAATTTTTTTCTGTTGGTTTGATATTTTACTGAACACTTTACTTTTTCATTAAATATTTTTGTTTAACTTTCAGGAGTAGAAACCCATATTTGATGGTATTATAATGATACTCTCTGGTGAAGTCTAAGTCCTCACTAAAGAAAATGTAAATGTTTAAAATGAAGCACATAGTATAAACATAATACTTCACATGAAGTACTTTTAGCTGACCTTCCTATTCAAATAATCATACATTCTATTCCATCATAAATACTTGCATTGTACTTCATTATAGCATTATACGTTAATAGATACAAGTATTTTTAAAACATTATTTTTTCTGACTTAGGGATGTTGTTTAGTGGTAAAACACGTACCTTGCATGAAAATAGCTTTTGATTTAATCCTCATTATCACCTTAAAAATCTATTATTGTCAAAAATGATGTCATAGTTTTATTGCACTTTAACCTACTGTAATATGTTTTCATTGATGTACATTTTGTGCATAATAATTTTAAAATTACATAAATATTAATACTTTAAATATTCTTACATTTATTCTGAAACTTATAAAGTGGATAATAATTTCGGTAAGCAAATGCTTCCCTACACAAATATTGTATGTAGATAACAAGAAACCCAAGCAGAAAGACCAAGGAGGATAACTATTTTTCAGATCATTTTCAGGCACATAACACCTGCCATCTCCCAAGCACATCAGACATAGACTTTAGAGATGAAATAAGTGCACTTCACAGATACCTAGACTCTGGTAGTTGGTTAAAAGTGTGCCACTCTTCTTCCTTTTCTGACCACCTGATATGGCAGACAGTTTGTTTCAGTCCATAATCAGCTGGCTCCAAGGGAGGTGGCCTGACTGAGGGGCGACAGTTCAAGGCTGCAGAAGACAACAAAGCAACAACAGCAAAAAGGGGAGAACAAACCTCTTTTCCTCTCTTATATTGTACGCAAGCTCTCCACCTTCTGCTGGTCTAACACTCAGACCCTCTGCCCCTCTCTTGCACAGTCTCAGAACTTTTCCCAAGTGAGGACCCTGACCCCCTGCTGAGTCCCTTAAACTTCTAAACTTTTCAAATTGACACCGACAATATCCTAGAGCCCTAAGGGCATGTCCTCTACACTGTAGGATGTAGAAGTGCTGAGTTATACATATAAGCTGCTAAATTTCTCTAGTCGACGCACTGCAAGGTTTTGGGGAGCAAGAGAGACCCACGGAACATTTGCTGTTAGTGAATTTTGCTGGATTGACATACCTGGTTCAAATTATTGTAAGTATTGGCTCCTACTGGCTTCTCCTCATTCTTTTTTCAGTTGGTGGTGACATTTCAATCACATGGTAGAATGGAAGTCATAGACAAAGCATTCGTGTGCCCTTTTTTCCACTTATTGCCTTCTGGGAGATGTGTGGATGATGTCTGGTAGATGAAATCTTTATTCCCTCCTCTAAATACATCCTGAAATCTGAGGAGGGAAAAAGCAAATAGTTTAAAAAAAATTCATTCTTTAATGTTTGTCCTTACGTTCTCTCTCTAACTTTGTCTCCATCTAGGAATACCAGGTTGAATCAATAATCAAAATTGCTACACATATTTTTTGTGAGTGTAAGTATCATGTACTTTTTTATAGTACAGGCAATAAGGGTGTAAAAAAATAAAATTACGGAAAAATATATTTAATTATACAGAATTCAAGGAAGTCAAGGCATAAAAATGGCATTCAAGAAGGAAAGTTACATATATATCCTATTTAGAAAAGAGGTAAGTTGTAATACTCATAGATGGAAACCAAGTTGTCATTGAATGGGCTCAGACATGCTAAGGGCAGATAAAAGGATTCTCTTTTCTGAAGGATAAATAACTGTGAGATAGGTCACTTTTTCACCAAATAAATATTTAAGCTATAAACAAAGACAGTGTCCTTTGTGCGCACAGCAGAGCATCTATCAAATAGTTGGAAATTGTCTGAATTTTATGAAATTTAGCTAAAATTTCAGACTAATTGTGAAGTACTCTGGGGATAACCAATGACACCAGAACATATTCTTTACTACCTATTAAACTACAACACTACGAAGAATTAATGTACTTTTTCTGTATTTTTATAACAAATAATTAAAGCAAGTAGAGAAAAATAGAGGCAAACATAAAGACAACATAGTGCAGAGACACGGAAACATACAAGGTTTAATTTGAAATGTGACTTAGGAGGGAAATGATTGTAGCCATTTGACTGGACAGAACTAACAATACTTGATGATATTAGTGGTGTGTTTAGCTACTAAAATATATTTTCAAATTATTGCATTATATTCTTTTGCTGTTCTTACTATTCTCTTGTTTGTAGGGAACATCTATACTTGTGTGAGCTGTTCACTGAGAATCTGTAACCCACAGGACAGGCGGAGAGGTCAGCTAGGAAACAGCAGAAAACAGAAGACAAGACTGCAGTGATAGAAAAAGATGGATATCAAGCCAAATGCAACAGCACTGCATGCTGTCGGGCAACAGCAAAGGATCCCTGTGCATGCAAAAAGAAAGTTGCACAATATGAAGGAGGCAGTAAAAATGAAATGAAGTAGAAGAGACATGCAGAAAGAAAAATGCTCTCGGATATGTCACAATCATCTTGATTCTTTACCTGGAAAACCTGTATTTTTTCCTTTGTAATTATCTAATATACTTTGTGTCAAAGAACAAGGACCTGAGTTCCACTTAAACAAGATGAAGAAGTTAACAGATACCGTTCTCGGGTTTTATCATGAAATTAGAAATGAAGATTTTCAGTTTCTGGTAGTCATGAACAGAGAGCCTCAGGTAAGCCCGAGAGTGCAGGCAGACAGTCAGGATGCTCCTGCGCAGGCTCCTCAGGTGCAGCTGTGCTGGTGGGAAAAATCATGCTGTTTAGCCTAACGAGGCAAAACAGAATAAAGGCCAAGGTAATTCAGTAGAGAGGGTCTTAAATGCACACCTGTATCAGCTGCTGCCTCCTTCCCACCTGGTCTTCATTTTTTCTCTGTGTAATCTGTTTGCTTCCCTACTGGGCCTGCTAAGATTATCTGATTCCAGGCCAAACTGATAATATTTGTTATGAGGCCTGCCAAAATTAATAAAATTTGAGTTTGTCATCTTGGTGTTCCCTGAACTAAAGTTAACTACCTATGTCAAATCCTAAAGTACACTTGTTACACCAGCATCAGGCTAAGATGTAAATCTCCATTTGAACTAATGAACAGCTGCACTCCTCTTGAAACTCTACATGCACAGAGAGATGTTTGTTTGTAAGTGGATACAATAGACAGAGTGCTTGTTGGTGTTTTAAAAGCCAAAACCTGGAATACTTTTCTTTTGACTTTACATATGGAGAAAATTATGGTGTAAAATGTAGACAAGAATAAAATAATACCAAGATGAGAAGGTCCATTAAAAATGTAGATGAGCAAATGACTTTAGCGTTATTAATGCTGATTGGGGATTTGACTGGCCAAATGAGCATATTTATACTTGGGACCAATTAAAAGGCTTACCATTTTAATCACTGGCAGAACTGGACATTCAGTGTTTTCTTGGATGACAAGAATTTTCTTTTGTTGTTTTTTCAGTTTGGCTTTGTTTGGTCTAGTGAACTGCACCAGAGTGTCCTCAGTGTAGAGAAGATAACAATACACTACCACAGTGTTAGTAACAATATCTTGTTACTAACATTTAGTAACAGTATCTCAGAGTCTCTCCACAGCTTGAGGGGAAAACATTGCTGCCATTCCTACCCTGAGGAAAATCTACAGTAACAGAATGTTTCCGGAAGTAGAAACATCCTACCAGTCGGGAACCTCCACGTGGACCCGACCTCTCAGCTTTCCCTGACTCCCCACCAGGGCAGCTGCTGTGTAGGATCTGCTGTAACATACCAACGGCACAGGCGGTGCAGTGCGTTGGGGCTGGACTCATGGAGAATGTCCTGGAGCTTCCCAAGAAGACCCCTCCAACATTACTAGGCAAAAAGGTGGATCAGGAATACCCTCCTAAGCCCCGGGAACAGTTCCTCCTGAAATAATTAAATAGACACACATCTTTCAGCTTTGATTTATTTTTAATCAGCATGAAAAGACCAGCTTTCAGATTCCCAAAGAAATTGCAAACACATCTTTAAAAAAAAAATGTAAGTTCTGATTCCACGTAGAGTGACTGAATTGTTGAGTTACTCAGAATTTAAAGCCTTTGTTTAATTACTTGATTCATAGAAATTCCCTTGATTCACTAATATACAATTTAGTCCCCAAGGGCACTCTGATTTTCTATATTTCCCTCTTAAATTTCAATGGGTATTTTTCTATCACAGTGTTATACATTCTCTTATACGACTCTCTACTTTTTCTTTTTTTCAGTATGGGGATCAAACTCAAAGACCCTCTACTTTGGTAAGTCTTTTAAAATATTTGGAATTTCTTACTTGTGGTTATTTGAAAAAGGTACAACTGTGAAAACACTTACTACTTTTCACAAGCCTAAAAAGTAATGTACAGAAAAAATACATGATCAATTATGATATTTAAGCTTAATTCATAAGGAAATCCCCATCACATTTGGAGAAAAAACTAATCATCACACCAAGAAAATCCTGTCTTCTACTGTTTCGACCAGCTTTTGTTTCATAAAACATGAATTAAGCCTTTTCAATGACTCATTGCAGAGTCTGACATAGTGAGGTCATCTAATGAATGCAGGGTAACAACCATCTTTGAGTGTAGGTTGTCAGTTGAAAGATGCCATTTGCTGTTTCTCTTTTGGTCCTTTGAGCATGATTTCGCTTCATGGGTGGCCCTACCATGGGCTCCAGTCTTCAGCCTTATGTGTGTATTGCTTCTCATTTCATCCTCAGATTTCCTAAGGATTTCATAGCCAAGCCTCGCTCTTCATTTCTCCTGCTCCCCTGGAGCAGCAGCAGATTTGTGGAATGTTCTCAAGCTCTTTCTGTGCAAGATTTTCTTGTCTTGTTTTGCACTTTTTTTTTTTTGGTGGTCAATAACCCCACTCTTTTTCATACCTCAGATTTTGAAGACTTTTGTGACAGTTATTGTTTCCTTGCATGGCTTAAAAAGTAGTCATTTAATAAAACTTTCAAATCTTTCTTGGGTCCTTATTGCCTTCCCAGCCCATTAGGTTTTTGAGTAGAAGCCAGAACAAAATGCAGGGAAGAAGATGTAGATATGCAAAATGGCTTTCATAAAAGCGCCTTATGTCACATTTATAACTTCAATACACAGCTGATTCACAGTCCGACAGCATAATCATTAAAGAATAAGAAGGACAGCAGGGACTACTTGGATGAAAGTACAATGAAAACCTGTTTAATTTTCTTATCTGTAAGTGTGAAACATGTTTAGTAAGCGGGAATGTCACAAGAGGAAGCCCAGAGAACACAGGGGTAACAAACACCAGGAGGACTACGGAAGAGGAAGTTTTATTATTTTCAACACAAGTCTCTCACAGATATTTTCTAGATTTATGGGTAAGAATTCCACTGGTTTTCCTGTGATAATGGATATTTCACATATATAATTTATATACTGATTTTGTTTCTTACAGCTTATCACTGGATTGTAAACATGTTTTGGATTTTTATTGATATTTTATTTAGATAATCATCTCATTTGCAAAGAGTGACATCTTTTCTCATTTTCTATTTATTGATATATTTGACATTAAAATAGTACCATGTACAACTGTCAAGTAGTTTTACATAATCAATTTTCTGCTTTTTAATTCTAGTTCATTTATTTTTTACTGATTATTCCCTTAATTATTTGATCATTTTATTGAGACACAATTGATACTATAACTAACACACATTCACATATACAGGTTGGAGTTTGACATGTTTACCCTATTTTTTTTCATTTACTTATTGGCCTCACTAGGTCTTTAACTCTGATTTTGAATATGAATATTAAAACATCATTGTAATAGGTGTTTGAAAAAATAATTCCTACTTATAATTCTTTTTAATCGTTTCCTCTTTGTCCCACATGTATGACAAATTTGTTATTAACCATCTTTAGTCTTTTAATCAGTAAATAATTTATTTCTCATTGTTGGAATAGCCTTGCTTCACTCACATCATGATGATACTCTCTCATAAACCCTAAATTTTGTAAAGCAGTATTTGTTTATTTCTGTCTATATCAATGGGAGATATTTGTACAATATTTTATTTCCTTAAAATATTTTTGCTTTGCTTTTAGTTTAAGGCTTTCCTAAGGAGGAAAAGGATCCGTGATAATGTCATTACAGTTTAGCACCTTTCCTTTTCTTGCTTTCTTCTGGTTAATAACCTGAGTAGTGCTTTCTCAGGTCTCCAGGTAGACTTTTATGGTTCCTTGATGAGGTTTGTGAACATGAGCTCTGATATGTCACCTGTGGGGCCTTGTTCTCTTTTTGATTCTTGACCACTTACTTCTCTCATAGGTTCGTCCAATATCTCCTCAGACTTCAGGAGAGTTATTTGTCCTAAACCTCAAGGATTTAAAATATTGTATGTTTTGTTTTGTTTATTTTGAGGTATTGGACATTGATCTCAAGAATCACTGAACTATATCCCCAGCCAAATTTCAAATTTATTATTTAGAAAAGCTCTTACTAAGTGGCCTGGGATGGTGATCCTCCTGACTCTTTACCCTCTCTAAAGCCGAAATTAGAGGCCTGTAGCACCAAAGCTGGCTAAGACTAAGGTCACATAAATAAAACAATAGCCGTGAATTTTCAGGCGATATTTGTCTTGCTTGGTTATCGTAAAAGTTCTCTCGGTGCTGACTTTGCAAAAGTATCTTTTAAATTACTTTGATCATATTCCAGGCTATTGGCACACATTTCATTCCTGGAGATGGTTAGAATATGGTGTTTCTAAAATAGAAGGACTTATCTTTCCTCCTCTACTTTGCAACTAAGATTAGGTAAGTGGACAGATATCTCCCCCCTCCAACAACTTGTGTCAAGTGTTCCTTCAAATCTGTACTGTTACATGTTTTATAGATACCCTGTTGCCTTCTCCAGTGTTCATGGCTATCTTGAAACCTACATGTGGCAGAGTACAAAATTAATTGTATCTAGTTTTATAAGCAGCATTAGGGAGCCAAAAGTAAATATACTATTTTCTGAGCGGTAAAAACTTCTCATTTTAAAATCTATGACCTGAAATTTGTTCTACGAATATACCAAATTATAGATAACACAGGATGAAGAGGCCTCTTCATATCTTTTAAGTTATCAATCACAATTTATGAATCCAATTACATACATGAGTTTTAATAATTTTACATTGCCTAGAAAGGTATCAAAATCATTCCAATACTATGATTGTAAAATGGACCAATTTTTAAAACTATGACAGTTTACCTTTGAAAAACTTGAATAAATATTTTGAAAATCAATTGAACTATACTTATAATGAGCAATCCATTTTGGGTTATTTTGGAATGGATAAATTTTAAATTGATATAAAAAATTTTGTATCATAATTCTGTTTTATATGCTTCTTGTCTGATTTTCTCAAATGAAATAAAATACAAAGTAATTTAGTTAGGTTTGCCTCGATTATTGAAAATTTTGAAATTCTTTAAAGTATGAAAGCTATTTTTAAAGCCAGAATTTTTACTCAAATATTATTTACATGATGAAAAACATTAGTGTATTTAAAAGGAAAATGTACTCTTAAATCACTACATGTGAGTAGTAAAGATTCAAGAATAAATACTATAAAGATCAGAGGAAGACCTCACAAAATTGCAAATAAATCTGCTTTGTACATATTCTTTTCAGATGCACATACAAATGCTTACTGAGTTTTAAAGGAATATTTCTATTATTTGTGATCAGATAATGTTATAAATTATTTCTTATTGCATAAACTTATTTGTAATACTAGAAAAATGAACATTTAATGTATCACCAGCTTATTGGTGATTTTATTGAATCATAAAATCCTGGGCCTCTGACAGCCCAGTTCCTGGGATTGAGAGAGGGTCACTAGGGTTGGGGCAGGCAGGCCAAGACCGGAGGAGCTGTAGAGTGTGCAGGAGGCCGGGCAGCTCCTTGACAGGCAGTGGGAGCGATGACCCCAAACTCTGGGGCTCAGGCTAGTGCACACCTGGCACCGCCTGGGCACGCGGGGCTGCGGGACCGATTCTTCCAACAGCAACCTGGAAATGGTCAAGGTGAGGACAGGGCAGCACTGAGGGGTCCTGGCTCCTCACGGGAGCCCCAAACCCCGCTCTGCTCCAGAAATGCCAGTCCGGGGTGACTTTTTCTTGCTGGTTAAAAACGTGCCTGCACCTCCAGAGTCAAGGGGTGCCCTTCTCGTGGTTCTGAGTGAGTAGGGAGCCAAGGCCGGCTTGGTGAGGGGGGCCCTCTTCCCCATACCCCTCAGCCTTGCCAGTAGTTGCCCTCACGCTATAGTAACATTTTTACAATGAATATTTTGTGCTTACTTTTCAACAACATTGCAAAATATAAGTACTTAGTACTCAGTGATAAAGTTAACAGTAATTACATCAAAACATGTTTTAAAGATAAATAAATTTTCTTAATTTATTTTAACCTGTTTATTTTCCCATTTGCTGCTAGGCTACTCACTAGCAGTGGCTGTGGCTCTGTCACTTGCAGATTACAACAGAGGAATAGAATTCAAAGGGTTGCTGCTAAGTTTGCTCTTTTCACAGGGACAAAGTTCGCAAGACTCCAAGATAAACAGTATTTTGGGGTGGACCTACCTTTTGTAGTTTCAAACTTTGAAATCTACCACATGAAAATGTCAAATACCGATCATCATACAGCTCTCTGTTAAATAATGATTAGTGAAAAATTCTATTCATAAGTAAGCCCAAGAGAAGTTTTTTTTTGCATTTTAATTTCACATTGAAAACCAATCAGATTTGCCACAGTCTCAAAGAGATTATTATTTATGTAAAATTAAATGAGTCCTGGTAGCTAAATGCACTTTTTGTCTAAATTGAAAATTTAAAAATTGATTTACAAATGCAACATTGCCCATGAAATTTAGTTATATTCAGTTAACTACATTTTAAGTAATACTACTAATGACATTCTAAAATTATATTTATTTTTATCCTACTTTGTATACGCATATAGTACATATACTATTTATATGTCTTGTGGAGAATTATTACAAGTACATAACACACTTTAATTCCTTTTACAGTACTCCTTCCCTTCCACCTGGCGATCCCCTTCTCCACTGAGAAAGATCTATCCTCCTAATTCTTATTACCTATCATTTATTTTGCTTTATACATTTTTCCTAACTCATATAAGAAAAGCCATGTGGTATTCAACTTGTGCACTTGTTTAATGTCATTTAACATTTTGTTCTCAGAATGCAATCGTTTTCCTAAAAACTCAAATTTATCTTTCTTTGTGGCTAAATAGTAAAATGCTTATATTCAAAGTACTCAATAGTACTTCAGATGTTTGCATAATTTAAATTCTATTATTTTAAAGTAAAATGTGAATAATTCAAAATTTCTAAGTGGTTTAAAAATATGAAATTTTATATCACTATGGTAACATATTATTAAATGTACTTAATAGGTATTATAACACCTAGTATATTGTCTCAATACAATATGAAGTATAATAGTAATTGTGGGATTTGCTTTAAGAACTGTTATTAGTCAAGGCTAAAAAATAAAGTAAATCATTGCTTTAGTTACTAGCCCATACATTCACATCTAGGAAACATTTATTTGATAACTTTTATTTAAGATGTATATTTTATTGTTTTCAAAAATATATCACTCTTTAATAAATAGGGAAATCGACAGTTTTTTTTTTTCTCAGATTGGCTTCCATGTCTCCTTAAATATGTTTCATTTTAAGTAACAGAATAGCATGAAAGTAACAAAAACATGTCTCTAACAAAAACTCAATATGGTAAGAATAGTAAATAAATGTGAACCAGTTTCTAAGAGTATCTCATGGAGGTATTAACTGGAATGCATAAATCTCTCCACCATAGTTCAGAGATGAGGGGCGGTGAAATAAATGTATTAGTCAATTAAGGTATGATTGTCAGTTCATGAAAAGAAAAGGTTTAATTTTGCCGACAGTTTTAGAGATTGCAGTCTAGATGAGAAAGACTTAATAGTTTCAGTCCTCTGATGAGGAAGGGGCAGCACAAGACTGCATGAAGTTTGTGGTGAAGTAACCCTGCTCACATCGTGAGCACAGAGAGACAGTCTGAGTCATAATTCCTCAGAGCATGTGTTCATGATGACTGCACAGCACTCACCAAGCCCCAACTCTTGTTTCTACAGCCTCGCAGTCTCAGGAATCACCTTTAACATGTGGACTTTCAGGGAACATTCCAGAGTTGAACAACTAAATACTGAAATTGAATTAGAGGACCTAGTCTAAGAATATTATTTAGCTTTTATGTGAATTTGGGTATGTCACTTATTTCTCACTCGCCATTTACTCATATTAAAATACATATAATGACTCTGCATTCGTTTCTGCATTATATAATTGTTTTGTGAATTCAAGTATGAAAAAAGTTTTATAACTTGAAAAGTAAAACTCTTATCAAGAGGCTTCCAAATATTAAACATATTTTTGTAGATGTCTTTATGACACTTGCACAGTCTAGGTTGTTAAGAATAAAAATAAATATACATTATATATGATATAGATGAATATATATATATGTATATATATATATATACATATATATATATATATTCTTACTGAAAATGTTAAGTTTACTGATTGTCAGTGTTTAATGTATTTAGAGCATACAATATATTAGGTAGATAGATATCTGAATTTTATGATTGTTTGAGAATCACATTTGTCGCTTTTCTGTTTGGGGGCAAAAATGTCTCACATTTACAATCTAAATGCACAGAGCTTCATTTTGGCCCATACTTTCAGAGATTTCAGTCCCCCTGGTGGAAAAGCATCACAGAGGAAAGCTGCTACACTCATGGCATTTGGAAAGCAGAGCAGATTACAAAGAGCCAAAGAAAAAAGTTTCAGTGACTAATATAGTCCACAAGGTTATGCTCTCTTGACTCATTTCATTAAACTATACCCCATGTCCTAAAAGCCCATTCAAATACAAACTCAGTTTTAATTAAGTTACTGCCCTCACAATCTAACACCTCTCCAGGAGTCTCTCAGTCCAGTCAAGACTACAGTGAAGCTCAACTGATTGAAGACTATCACTTTATCAATTTGACACTTAATTACACATCTTTAAACTATGATTAATTTCTCAATAACCTTATATCTTTCAAATATATTTGATCTTCAAATACACCCTGACCTCATTCTTCTGCTGGTTCTGCTCCTTGCTTATAACTTTTTGGACCATGTTCCATTTTCCTGGCATCTCCAAGTTTCTGTGGTATCCACTGCAGCTTCACTCCACTCCCAGGGACTCAGCAGCCCCTCAGGATCTCATAGCAGGCAGGGATGCTGGTCTTATAGTATTTTTGCTCCACCAGACCAATTAATGCATCATCCTTGAACTCCACCTTACAGAATTTTAGTGTGTGGATAAACTGTAGAAAAATGATTTGTAAGAATATAGCATTTTGGTCTCTTGTCCAATTGTCAAAAGAATTCTCTTTTTCCATCAGAAGTCTAAAGCTTCTTGAGTACAATTTTTATTCTAAATTCTGTTTAACATTCAGAGCTTCTGAGCTACTGTGATAATCATCTATCAGTCTCTGTTTATAGCTTTCTAGGAGTCTGAAGCCCACATCACCAAATCACACATTCCTCCTGAGAAATAGTTACAAAGGCTTCTGAGCCCCATGGTCATGTGTAGTTACAGTAATGACCTCACTTATCTATTGGAAATTTTCTGAACTGTTCACTTTTCTGTTGCTGGACAAAACTTCCAAACCTCATAATTTAAAAGAAAAGCTTATTT